ACTTATATAGTGATTACATAAAGAAGCACCTTGAAGTTGACATACTTCCCGGAACATTCAGACTTTTCACCAACAATACAAAGTTTACATTTTAACTGAAAGAGTAACCTGGTAGAAGCAGTGTCTACAAAAAATCTTGGCCTAAAATCTTTTAATCAAAGCAAATACAAAACTTTAAACTATTTACACAGTTCTACTGCTGCTAATTAGTGAGGAGTAGGCCAGGGGCTGTCATTGCCCTCCGAGCCAAGTCAGCTAAAGATTTACAACCCTCCCTAGAGATAAGCATCGAGGGAAATTCCTCCTATTTGTCTTGCTAAGGATTTACAATCTTCCTTTAGAGATAGGATGCTTGAGCTAAAACTCATAGTATAATATAAAACCTTCTGACCTCCTATGTTTGCCTATCTTCTTTCTGCCTCATCATAAACACCTGTGTTTGGTAATGGTCTTATAGTAGTTTTACTGCAGTGGGAATATCCAGAGCATTTATCCTAACAGATCCTGATTAAATATTTTCTTTAGAAAGCCCTAAAACTCTTGCCCCTTTATTACCTACAATGTTTGGTTTTTCCACAAGCAATTCCTGATGCTGAATCTGATTTATTACCTCTCCTGAAATTTTAGTTTCCTTCCACTCTTATTTGCTAAAGCTTTTAGTAATATATCAGAAATGTGTTTCCTTGAATAGTTAATTGTGCTGTTCCAAGAATCATAGAGAAACAGCAAAAAAGATTATCAATCCAACCCTGCAATCGAGGAAGCATGGGACTCTCAGAATATGTCTTTTTGGCTTAGGTGGCCATGTTAGGGTTCTTGCCAATGATCTCCAGGGAGCTTATTTCTGAAGAAAACGTATCTCCCGTCTAGTAGCACAATCTATTGATATACTACACAGATGACGCTGGAGAGGGTGTAGCATTGAACCTATGACCTTACTTTTGACAGGCAAGCACTCTACCACTGAGTTAAATACCCAACCCTCCAAAAGACCTAGTAAGAATCATGTAATATTTAATAACAGCTAGAATCTGGAAACGACTCAGATGTCCCTCATTTAAAGAAGGGATACAGAAATTGTGGTACATCATGAAATTTGCAGGCAAATGGATAGAGCTAGAAAAGATCATCCTGAGTGAGGTAACCCAGAAGCAGAAAGACACACATGGTATATACTCACTTATATAAGCAGATTTTAGCCATATAATAAAGGAAAACCATACTAAAATTCACTGACCTAAAGAAGCTAACTAACAAGAAGGATCCCAGGGAGGTTGCTTAATTCTCAGTCAGAGGGACAAATATTTGAAAGAGTTAGAAAATTAGGAAATAAATGGACCCAGAAGGGACAGGAGCCCCACAAGGAACCCAACAAAGCCAACAAATCTGGGTGCAGCAGAGCATGATGCACCAACCAAGGATCATGCATAAAGAGGACATAGACCTCCCTGCTCAGATCTCAGTCTCCATGTGGGTGACATAGTAAGGCAAGAATGGGGCTCTCTCTGACATAAACTCAGTTGTCCTGGTGCTTTGATCATGTCCTTATGGCAGGGAGGCCTTGCCAGACCAGAGAGGAAGAGGATCCAGGCAGTCCTGATGCGACTTGATAGACTATGGTCATATGGTAGAGGAGGAGGGCTCCCCCTTTCAGTGGTCTATGAGAAGGGGATGTGGGAAAGGAAGGAGCATGGGACAGTAGGAGACAAGGGAAGGGGTTACAATTGGTATGTAAAGTGAATAAATTATAAAAAATAAATCTAAAATACTTAAAATTATCATGTAGCATTAAATTAATAAAGCAAGACAAGGATTTGTGGTGAAATTTCCAAGAGTCTCAAAGTGCTGAATCTTTTGCTACTCTCTGCTTAAAGGTTGCACAGTATGACATGAGCATAATCGAGAAATTTCTAAATGAGTAATGAAGGGATCTGCAGCTGTTGCCATTAGAGGCGAAAGTTCTCCAGAACAGCTGCTGACAGTGTAAATAGTGAGCTTCGGCTGAGGATGGGCAGTGACCAGGGGTGTGGACAGATTTAGATCTGTGCTCCCTTCCTCCATAGCCATACTCTTTCTTTTAGTTAAAGGGATAGCACAGTGGGAAATAAACAGTAACCTTTGCATGGAGGGCTGGTGAGATGTCTCATTGCATAAAGGTTTTTGCTGTGTAAGCCTGGCAACCTAGGTTTAATCTCTAGGACCCATGTAAAGACAAAAAGAGGGAACTGACTCCACAAGTTATTCCTTGACCTTCATATAAATGCTATGGCCCAACCACATATCACACACATATCACATAACACACACACACACACACACCGCCACCACACCACATAATTGGCGGTCAGGCGCGCACACACATACACACTAACTAACTAACTAACTAACTAACTAACTAACTAACTAACTAACTAACTAACTAACTAA